TCAACGAGGCTAGATAACTGGAAAGGTCTAACCATAAAAGTGCTTTCATGTAAGCACCAGCGAAGAAACATTCGCTAGGGATCCATGAATCGACCTTTAGACTGATTTAACATGGTACTGATGTGGTGGACAAAACCAACCAAATCAAACAAGAATATCAAAATGGTTATATAATCTAGTGACCAAAGAAAAATATGTTGAGATTTTCATACCTATTTTATACTGTTTTTAATGATATTGCACTTTAAAGAAATGTATTTTTGATGTTTTGTTGCAGGAACGATGAATTATGGTCATTGGAGCAAAAAAATACAAAAAGGAGCGAATTGGGAGCGAAAATGACCAAAATGTGAAGATTTGAACTAGGCCGCCGACGGCGCCCTCGACCCCGCCGACGACGAGGCTTTCCCGAGACTACATGACAAAATTCTTCAAAAGCCCGCCGACGGCGCCCTTGAGGCCGCAGACGGCGAGATCAACAGTTATGCCTACTCAAGCTTTGGATAAGGCCAAAATTTGAAGGGATGCTTAAGCAACTCTTGCGAAAGCTCATCCACAACTTTAAAAGAATATTTTGGTCGAAAATTGAGAGAGTCTAGAGGAGGTGGTGAGAGCTAGAGGCCCTAAAGGTTAGAGAGGTTCCATTAATGTGTTATAATTGTGAGGATTTCTTCGAGAAATTGTAAGAGTGGAGGGAAAGTGAGATTTCTTCCTCCTTACTACTTCAAAGAGGAATTTAAAGAGGAATAAATAAAGAAAGAGATTCAGAGAAACTTCGAGGAGTGTTCTTGAGAAGAATTTAGAGATAAGTTACTTACTTGTTGTAGTTTGTATGACTTTGATTTTATATATGAATTTCAAGTTTTATTGTGTTTTTCCCATGAGTTCTGAGTAATTTTCTGTCTTTCTCCTTGTCTTGAGTTTTGTGAAATGGTGATTTGAATTGGTTGAGCCATGAAAATGTTAAAGAAGTTGGGTGCAAATAAATAGGAAAATAAAATTATCGGGCGTAGAATTAGAGATTTTAGAGTGACAGACTAAAATCCCTAATTGTGTCCTATTGTTTGAGTACTGAAGTGGAGATGTTAGCCCTCAGGCGAGGGGAACGTGGGAGCTCTGAAGTGAGAGCTTGGGTGCAAATAAATAGGAAAATATTTTTATCGGGTGTAGAATTGGAGATTTTAGAGCGACAGACTAAAATTCCCAATTCAGTCCTATCGTTTGGGTGCTGAAGTGTA